GTGTGTGTGTGTGTGTGTGTGTTTTAATCTCTCTGAGGACAAGAAATGAAAATGTAAGAGAATTCTGACTTGGATATTCTACCCAAAGAAATCTCCTTTCCTGATTTGAATGTAACATTTAAACCATCACAGTGCTTAGATGGCTACAAGAAAGTAGAGAGAGAAAAAAAAGAGAAGGAGGAGAGGGAAGGCAGGTGAAGTTGCAAGCTCAGTTTGTCTGGTCTGTTTTGACACCACCGACTAGATATTAATGGAAAGAAAACTTCTTGACCACGTGCAGTCCATTCTGTTTATATGCTCTAAGCTGAGCAAATAGGTCAGAGCCTTGAAGATGTGTGTGATCTAATAATGCCTATATTGATGCAGCTAAAGATTTGTTTAAATCAAACGTATTATTTCAGAGCTGAGAGTTCAGTTGATCACCACAAGTTCTTTGAGAATCCTGAGTGCCACTTGGCCCACCCCCGACTCACTTGCCTCCCCTCCCCCACCATTGCAGAAGCTGAGGGGCCGTGGGGGGGGGGGGGAGTGAGGATGCCGGCTGCATCTTGCACTGTAGTGCAAACAGATCCCCGCAAAGAGAGAGGAAGATAAAATGAATTTAAATTCCAAAGGGGTTCCAGTGCTGGTTTCCTAGTCCCCGAGTCAGCAATGTGTTTGTGAAAATTCAGCCTTTTTGTCTCCCAGTAAAAAGGAGCTAAATCTACATCGGTGGCCCAGTCTCGGGTTGCTATTCTTTGCATTTTCTATTCGAGTGAATGAGAGTGAATGAAGTGGCCTGGACCCTTCATTTGATCTACTCAATTGCATAAAGTGACAGAATTCTAATATATTTGTTTAATGCTCTTCAATGGGCTTTCACTTTTTGCTTGCAAATGAGGCATCCATGGGCCAAGTTGCATCCCCTCTTTAACACCAGGACATATTTCATAACTTGGGCTGCAGTTTGAACTGATCTGGAGAGGAGTTTTAGACTCAAAAAGTGGAAAATAAAGAAACAGATGTGAAGTTATTGTAAATGACTAGAGTGGACTCTGAGGCTATTGTGCCCCCACTGCGGGCGGTCCAGGGGCTGTGCCTTTCACGCTGTAATTGAAACATATTAATTAGATAATTTGTTGTTAGTTTAAACGAAACAAATGCATCCCCTTTGAGGCTGCACAGCTGGTAGGTTGGGTCGGTTGGGTCTTTTCTTGTTTTGTTTTTGTTTGGGTGTGCCTGTACATAGGTGGATTTTTAGGGAAAAAAAATTAGTGGAGTTTATACTAAGAATTTAAGAATGGATTCTGATCATTTTTGTTTCTCAAGTGAATACCCTCGACAAAGGCAGTTTGCATTTAGCAAACTTCTTCCTTCCACCCTGCTCCGCAGCCCGCTCCGCCCCTCTGCTCCCGCAGTCCGTTCTGCTTGCGCAGGACTCTTCCTCCCACTCTGTATCCTAGCCTCAGCTGAACACCAGACCGAAGTCAGGCTTCGAGGACGTTCAGCCTTCTCATTCTTTTGAAGGACCGCAACTCTGCCGTAGCCTCTGGAAGTCCCTTTGAGGCTCACTTACAGCTCAAGCTTCCCAACTGGCGGTGGGAGAAGTGGGAAGAGCATACAGAGTTCACCCATGGTGTAAGCCTTTCCTTAAATCACAGTTAAATGCAGAATCACGTTGAAAGCTCTCTAATAGAAGAATAAGTAAGTTTCCAAATCCAAAACCCCAAATCTATAAAAGACAATACTGTCCAAATGTATAAAGGAAGAGTGCAATGCGTCCTGGTTCTCAGGGTGTGATGTACCTCACTGCATGGTGTTGTCTCTTGCAATTTTATTTTAAAGTTCTGTGTGTTGACTTTGGACTTGAGCCAGGTGAAAAGATTTAACATGACAAAGAGAGCCATTGAAGGTATCATAATTATATACTTCCTTATTTGTAGGGCACTTCAACTAAGTAGGGCAGAAGTCTCAAAACTGGGCGGTGAAGGAGGGAGGCTTGTGTATTTGGGCTGCCTTTGGGCTCTGATCATGGTCAAAATGTCATCAGTGGATTTTTTCCCTTTACTTTGCACATTCAACTTCAAGAAAAGATGCTGCAGTTATGAAAGAAAGGCTCACAATACTCACACATTATTTCATTTTTTGCAATATACCATGACAAACTTACCAGTTGAAAAGAGCATTTCCAAATACTGACATGGAATTGCTGCTTGGCTAAAAATCAGAATGAGGATCAGTGTTCTTTCCCTCTGAATGTTAAAGGTGTGTATCAACACATCCCTTATTTCTGTTCCACTGCATATTGTAAGAGGACTGTGTTATCTGACCAAGCTAATCTCTACAATGTCTGAGGCCTATGTTAACCACTTACACTTCCCTTATTCCCAGTTCAGATGCAGTGTTGTCAAATTCAATGACATTGGAATAGTCCAGAGATGGCCTTAATTCTATTTTGTAGGGAACTGTGGAACTGTATTTAATTTTTTTTTTTTTTAATGTAGACAGATTCCTGTTGAATACAAACTTTCAAGAGTTTTTCAGCCTAGGATGGTGAAGTTCTCCAGGCTTTCTTAAGCTGATCTTGTTGATATAATTGTGAATTGGCCTTGATGAATGAGTTTAGTTGTCCCTTGTCTGACGAGCTTTAGTAGCTTCATGCATTTTAATCAGTCCAATGATTCATTTATTTTCCACCTTTTCGGGGGCTGCGTGTGGGATCCTTCCTTTAAAAAATTGTCACAACAGCATTGCCCTTTGCATTAAATCCTAAATTGTTTTTCAGGTAGCCCTCAGAATCCGTGAGGCTCACAGGTGCCAAGGATTCTACTCATGTAGGATAATGATCAGAGTCTGTGAGGTTTTTGTTGTTACACAAGAGTCCCTTGTTTAATCATTTACACAGTAAAGTGTTAATCGCCATTTAAATTTCTCTTTGTTTAGTAACTTCATTACTTGAATACACACCTCACTCTGAAAATATTGTGACCCCTTCATTTAAGTGTCAATTAACCTGAAGCCATAAATTCTTAGCAAAATTTCATTCTCTGCTTCAAAAAAAATTTTTTGAAGAAAAATAACTGCTTAAAGTCAGGCATTTAACACAACTTCATTCAAGAAAGCAGTCTGTTCAAGTGAAAGGAAACAGGCTTCCTGACAGGTAAAGTGAACCTTGAAGTAATTTCTAAAGCAGAAAATTCCAACAACTGCAACGATTTAAAGGAGCAAGGAAATGAACACTCACTCCGAGACGGGACGTAAATATGCCTCTGTACGTGTTAAATCTCCCTGTCATTTCTACCTGATGTCCCACATAGTACAAAAGTGCTCTCTATGTGACAAAACCTGTTGTTAATAGAGATGAAGACACATATAACGTACTGTAATTTTCAGTAGCAATTTATCTTTCAGCACTCTGTGCATCTGATGGAAATAGAAATAACCTGTACCCTTCACCCCTCTGCACGAATAACCTGAAGAGTCCATCGGAGGAGGAAGTGTCTCCTTCAGTTTGGAGGTGCCCAGACTGGGTTCCCAATGTGAAGGAAAAGACAACTCAGACTTAGTGTGGCAGGAAGCATGCTGGTGGGGGAAGCCCCGCCTGCATCCTTTTGTGCAAAGTTGTTGTTTCAAAAACACACAAAGCTAACAGTTGGAATTTACATATTTTAATGAGAAAATATTATTTGTACTAGGTCATAATTTAATGTAGACACCTTTTTAAAATTCTTTTGTCTTAAAACGGGCATGCTGGGAACAAGAACACCAATCAATATTTAAAATGTCATGCTCATTCTGTACAGGGAGGAAGAAAAATGAAGGGCCAAAATTGTACAACTCTGATTATACTGTCTTTTTTTTTAACTTAAGCAGGTCACACCAGAACAGCAGTTTGTTTTCCAGAAAAATTTCTAAGCTTCTAAAGAAAGATAGGAAAGCAAAGTGCGTTTTACACAGTGTATAACCATCCCTATTCACAAGTATTTACAGCTCTTCACAGCCCTTTAGCTTCTTGGAAAACTTCTTGCAGCTACCAGAAAGACTGTCCCTGGGAGAACCAGCTGATGACACTCCCCCACCCCTTCTTATTCCCAGTTCGTCTGGGGGATGGCCCTTGATGTTGTCTCGTTTGGGGGCTTAATTTTATCTTCTGTTATTTTCCTTCTTTTCGTTTTGGTCGACTTTAAAATAAATAGCTAAAAAGGTCTCTAAGTAACCAGAAAGTTAACGTCCCAATTAACTTTCCCATCCCTCTCCCCTCCCCACGCCCACCCTCCCAAACCTGGCCAGAAATGCAGGGTAAACATTCACATTACAACAGGTACTTGCAAAGTGGGCTTCGCCCGCTCGCCCGCCTAGAACACATTCAAGTTCACTGTTTACATTTTGCTGGGCTCTTTGTAAAGAATGCAAGGCTACTTTTACTTTTGTTTTTCCCTTGTGGAAGACAGGCGTCCCTGTCTCAGCTTGGCAGCCTTTCCCCTAACTCCCAGCGCCGGAAACAAAACCCAAACATCTCCGCAGCAGCCGGGGAAGCTGCGGTGCGCCCAGCCTCTGCCGGATGGGCGGAGGCGACTGGGTGGAGAGACCCAGCGGGCTGCTTTTCGCGTCCGAATTCCGAGACGTTAGCAGCTCCGGTGGCCCCTAGGCTGTGTCGCCACGGTCCTGCGCCGGGGCGATCGGTTCCACGACGCTTCAGAAACAGTGCAGAGTTCAGGGCTCGGCTCCGCTTGCTGGAGCTCAAGAAGGACGCCTGTTACTCGGAACGGGGTTCCGGGAACCCGGGAAAGAGAGGTGTCTGGGCCTGGGTAGACCATGCCTTCCCGTGGCGTGGGGGCGAGAGGAGCACCCAGGACGCAAGGCTCCTGGCCTGCCTTGCAAGTTTGTCTTGTCTCCCGGATCCAAAAACAAAGTTCTGGAGCGGAGTAGAGTGGCAGGGAGGGGACAGGGGACAAGGGAAGACCGAAGGGTGACGTGGACCCCGGTAGGGCAGCGGCTCCCGGACCAGAAGGGCATTACCGGGAGTTCGCGAGGTGTGAGCGAGGCAGCGCCTGCGGGTCAGTGCACCGCTACCGAGTGCAGGGTGGAGGCCGGGCTGGTGAGCGTTTCGCTGGGCGTGGCGGGGCTGCTTTGGCTGGTTGCTGTTTGCGAGGACGTGGGGCTGAGCGAGGGCGGCGAGTTCGATAGCAAGGTAGGGATGGGCGCAGGCAGTGCGGGCAGCGCGGGCACGGCGGCCGGCGTAGGCTTGATGGGCACCGGGATGGCGGGCAGCGTCTGGCCTGCCGCATGGCACAGTGGCTTCAGCGGCACTCCGTAGGCGCTGTAGTCGCCGCTCGCCATGGAGATGGGGGTGGCCGAATCGATCATGCCCGCAGAGCCGTACACGTGCGGCCAGCCGGTGCCCAGCGAGCTGCCCATGGTAGTCAACTGGTTGGGGAGCGGGTAAGCAGCGGGCACTGGCTGCATGGCGGAGAAGGCCAAGCCTCCGGGCATCTTGTATTCCCTCGCGATGATGTTCTCGATGGCGAAGGGGTGCTTGAAGCCGGAGGGCTGCGCCACGCCGCCCAGATTGTAGGCAGCGGCTGGCATCTGCGGCAGGTGCGTGCCAGAGGCGGCCAGTGCACTGAGCCGCAACTTGGCCTGCTGTTGCAGGTACTGCGCTGCGTCGGCCGGCTTGCTGGGGGCCAGGTGGTCGGACTTGAGCACCTTGAAGCGCTTTCGACGCCTCAGGAAACTGCCGTTCTCGAACATGTCCCCGCAGCTGGGGTGCAGCGCCCAGAAGCTGCCCTTGCCGGGCTGGTCGGGCCGCCGCGGGATCTTGATGAAGCAGTCGTTGAAGGAGAGGTTGTGGCGCAGGCTGTTCTGCCAGCGCTGCGTGTTCTCTCGGTAGTAGGGGAAGCGATCCATGATGAACTTGTAGATCTCACTCAGTGGCAGCATCTTTTCGGGTGAGCTCTGAATGGCCATAGCGGTCAGCGAGATGTATGAGTAGGGTGGCTTCTGGTCACTGTACGTGTTTCGGCCCGGCCGAGGCATCTTCTTGCTGGTCCCCTTCTGGCTCTGGATCGGCGCCGGCCGGTGGAATGCTCCGATCTGGGAGAGCGGGGAGGGAAAGGAGGGATGGGAGGAGCACAAGATGCATAGAGACACCACGCAAGGTTAGCCGAGCCCGGAAGCAGACTTCTGGGTTTGGGTAAGGGCTGCGCGCCAGGTTCGTGGGCGCCCGCAACTTTCTCGCTGGCCGCGCGACCTGGCCTGAGAGACGCGGGAAGGGAGACCGGGTGAGCCGCGCAAAAGTAGCACGAAAGTTAAGCAGAGCCTGTAACGTGGACAGGGAGAGGGATGGCAGGAACGCCAGGGAGATCTGCTCACCTTAAAGTTGCTCCAAGTTGTGCATCCGCATCCGGGATGGCGCCGCTGCACACCACGCTCCCCCTCCGTATGCGCAGCTGGAGAGCAGTGTCCGGCTTTGGCTAGACTGCGCGCGAACCTGGACTCCGGAGCTGAGCCCCGCAGCGGCCTCCTCGGCGCTCCTGGCTGTGCGTCCCACCCGCTGCCAAGCTCGGCTGCGGAGTCTGGGCGCGCTGCTCGGCAGCAGAGACCTTAGGGGGCTCCGGAGAGCGCTGCTGTGGCTTCGCGGCTCCGCTGAACTAGGTGGCTGCCTCCATGTCCTCCCTCGAACCATCTGATAGTTTTAAGCGGTGACAGAAGCAGAAAAGACCCCTGTAGCGGCGCTTCATTAATGTGCCACTTCTTAGCTATCATATGACAATCGCCTTGGGAGGAGGAGGGGGAGGGTGGGAGCTGCGGAGGGAGGGGACTGAGCAGGAGGGAGAGCCTGGCCAGCTCTGGTTTCTTGCACACCTATTTACATGGACACCTCGGCCAATAGGAATCACTTCCAACTCAAGACTGGGCGATGGTGAAGAGGTTCGGCCAGTGGCGGGGAGCGGGACGCGCCGGCCGGTGTGCGCCGGGTGAAGGTATGAGGAGGCGGCGGCTGCGGAGCGGGGAATCCGGCCACCGCTCCAGTCCGCAGACGGAGCTGTCGCGCTGCTGCTGATGTTTGACATGGAAATGGCTTGTCTGGGATATTCTGTTTCCTCCGCATTCTCTCGGGTTTGTATGGTTAGCTAACTTGAGGCCCGGCGTTTCCCCGAATCTGACCCTTTTCCTGAGCTCGGTACTTAGCCGGGAGTTTGTTGCTTGGATCCTTAGAAGGAAAACAAGCCCTCCCTTTCTCTGCCCCTCTCTCCCAACCACTGCCCTCCCTGCCGAGTCAGCAGGTGATAGGCCTTTGGTTTGACCTTCCTGGCTGTTGGCTTCATTTGGGTGTGTAGCTGTTGAGGCTGAAGCGATCGGACAGCCCCACATAAAGTAAGAGCTCATTCTGAAACTACAGGTATTGGCCCAATTAAAAAGCAGCAAAAAGTAAGATGGTGTGTCTAGGCAAGGAGTTGACATGTTTGCTTTCCAAATCGCCTAGGCTGGCAGCCGTGGTGGGCACAGGCGGGATGTGGACTTGGGGGAGGGCCTGAGTTTGTTTGACACCAGATCACCAGACACACCGCAGGGTCTCTTGCTTTCTCCAGGTCTTTTCAAACTTTGGCAGCCAGGCGTTTCCTGAAAATTTGCATTTTACTGCCGGAACACCCTCCCCTATCCCCCTCCCCACACTGGGGGAATATATTTAGGGCTTAGCCCAGCGAGGGCTACCTACAGTCCCACTGTAACAACAAAGTGGCCTGAGGCTGGCAAAGAACCAGCAAGTTTTCCTGCGCAGGCAGGTGGGGTAGGGAGGGCAGGGGCAAGGGGTGCCCGGGGGTCACGGTGCCTGGTGCAGGCTGCTGGCTCCTTTTGGTTGTGATGCGCATCGGGAGGGTTAAAAGCATCATCATTATTATCATTATCATCATCGCCTTCCTCGTCATCATCATCAGATTCCTATGAATTAAATAATGAGTTGACACCGCCTGCATGCTGCCAGCCGTCAGCCAACTCCAGGGGTTCCCACGCCTTTCTGCGCCTTCTCCGAACCCCTATTGTGGTTTTAGAAGAAAAAAAAAACTCATTTTTTCATCACGTTCATAACTCGGTACCCTGGGTAGACACAAAATCACCTCTGTGGAGTCCGGAAATGTGAGAGCTCTTTTTTTTCCAACCCTCCCCCCCCCCCCCCCCCCCCCCCCGCAACTCCAGCTGCCTAACAAGAGGAGTGGAGGAGGGGTGGATGGTGTTCTGACACTTTAAATGGTACTGGAGCATTGTGAGGAGAACTGTTTGGGGTTGGCATGAAAAAAAAAAAAAGATCTTGTAGCGGGAGCACACAACAAGCACGCAAAACTTCATTAACCACATTGCAGCGGCGGTCAATAACTCACCAAAACGTAACTCAAACACGACGAATTTAGAAGATTAAACAATTTCATGAATATTGAAATGGCTCTCGTGTCTGGGTTGCCTCGCTTGAGATGCAAGCTCACGTTTTTCAATATTAACAGAAGTGCTTCAAGAAAAGGAATAATGTCACCTTCTTAATTCGCAAATAAATAAATAAATAACCGGGAGGAGGGAGAGAATGGGGAAAGGAAGCTGACCAGTCCTGGGTGGGGGGAGGATGGGCTGGCTAGGGAAGGACAGATAAAGGAGTTGCCCTTTTCCAAAGTGGAACCAGCCCCATGGAGGGGGTGGCGTGGGGCAGAGATCCTGGGTCTGGAGCAGCAGAACTCGCCCCAGCAGCGTGGCGCACACTTCAGCTTCTAACCAGGTGTGACGTTTAGATGTCACTGACCTGGTTGGGCTCAAGGGTCATGGGGTGGGAAGAGCTGCAGCATTCGTTGGAGGAGCTGGGAAGCCTGTTGGAGAAGGTCTGTGTCTACCGAATGGAAGGTTGTGGCCCAGCACTTCTCTGCTCCAGTCCGCAACTGGCCTTGGTGGGCTCCTATGGCAGAGGCAGGAGTTCTCGTGGGCTAGGAAAGGAGCTGCCTTGGAGCTGCCAGGAATTTTTAGGGTCCACTTAGCAAATAGATGCATCAGGGCACACTCAGCTGTAGGGTTGGTACCTTTGGGATTGGAACCGCGGGAATGCTCCTGTGACAGCAAGGATGGGTCTCTTCTACATCAAACGTTTGGATGCCTAGGGAGGGTGGGGAATGTAGAGAGAGAGTTTTCTTATTTCAACAGCTGGCATTTTGTTGTCTTGCCAAGGGCCATTGCCTGGCTGTTGAAATCGTAGCTCTGAGTAAATGAAAGATTAAAAAAAATTGGAATAAAGCTTTGTCCATCTCCCCAAGGACAGTTGTCACCCTTAAGTATCTGTGTTTGAGGCAGCAGCAAGCTTTGGCAACCCTGGGAGTCAGAGTTGAGGCACATTGAGAACATCCAGTGGGAATTAAGTAAATGGAACCTGGGGAGAACCAGTTCACCCTTGGGTGCAGAGCCAAGTTGGAAAACCTATAAAACCTAGGTTTTGCGACAAAGTTTTATCTTGCTGCTGGAGATCCAGCTGCAAAGGGGGGTGGGGAACTGTTGGGGCAGGGAGGATTTGCATGTTATTTACTGCATTTTAAGACCCGGTGTTCGGGAGAGGAGGGGGGGAGGAGCACTTTCCAGAAATCTTGAAAAGTGCATCAGAGTCTATTGTACAGAATCCAAAGCAAACAGAAGCATGGGGTGGAGTGGGGGACGCAATCCGACCCGGACGCTTACAGACTTGTTGGGAAAACTGTATAAAATACACATAAGTCAATTATACCCATGTGCAAACCAAATGGAAATCTTCGCGGAATAGCTATTCATCGCCTCCCCAGAGGCCACCGGCCACCTTTCTGCTTGGAGAGTTCGCAATGGCCTCTTTTCCCACAAGCTGGACCACACACGGCTACGGATTTTGTAATAATTTATGCTAATTTCCCACCATAAATCCACAATTCGCTTCAGTGGCACCCGGGCTGCTAGGGGAGTAGAAAGGAGACAGAGGAGTGACATACAATATTGATTTTGATTCCTTGTGTTGTCAAGCAGGTGTGTGTGTGTGTGTATGAGAGAGCTGAGTGAATGTGCAGGAAGGGTGGGACTGGGGGAGGGGAATGAAGCTCCTGAAGTAGGAAAACAGTTGATGGGCCCTCCGCCAGTGCCTCTGTCCGCACTCCAGAAGCTGGTTTGTTAATATTTACCAAACACCGACGGGGGAGGAGGGTGAGAGGGGAGGGAAAGTAGCCTCAGCTTCCGAGGGTTTCCTAGGCGCCAACAACAATCTGCGCCATCCCCACTTGGGAAAGTGGACTTGCTGCTGGAGCGCTCCAGGCGACCCCTACCTTCTGCTTTCTCCTCTTCCAGTCACCCCTGCCCTGCCCTGCCCTGCCCTCCTCTCCACCCTCACTCCCCCATTTTCCCCACCAAACTGACAATCTAATATGATGCCACGGAGTTTGAGGGAGACGAAGGTCCAGAGCTGGCGCTTTGCCGACTTTCAGGATTTAGGACCTAGGGGGTCTGGGCCGCCGCAGCTTCCCGAGGCGCCTCCCGCGTTTGACCAATGCTAGGCTCCCTCTGGGAACGCGCGTTAAAGCAGCGCGCCGCTTTGTCCCATCAGTCGCTCTTCCCCAAATCTGCACTTTGGTGGCGTGAAACGACTTAGCTTTCTTTTCAAAAGGATTTTGTTCCCGGGCTATTCAGCACTAAAACAAACTCCCTCAGCCTGTCAGCGGTCAATTAAAAAAAAATGGCCGTCCTGCGTCCTGAATATTCCAAGGCTGCTTGTCCTAGGAAGCCTTGAGTCCCCTCACCTTCCATCCCCTTTTCTCCCCCCACTCCTGCCTGCTCCTCTGTGCCAGTCACACCGCCAGGCTTCACGTTCTGGATCCCAAGCCCACAGGGAACTTGCCGGCCCAGATCTCTTGGTCTGGCAGGGGTCGAGGAGGTGGGGCGCTGGGCACCTGCACCGGGCAGGACACGTGTCAGGGGGAACCTTTCCACCACGCTCCCCACCACCGCCCAGGGAACTCTGCTGGCCACTCGCAGCGAGACTGGTTGTGAGAGTTTGCGTCGGGGTGCACACGTTCCACCCGTGGGCTGGGAAGGACTGCATACCC